GGGAAAAAAAAGCTTTGGGTGAAATTTGAGTTTAAAAGGAGATAAATCGACTATCATTTTCTAGGTTTAATGGCCAGTAATTTGGTTTTTCTTTGAATAGAGAGAAATTTTTTTTAGAATAGGAAAATAGAATGATTAAAAAAATTTTTGGGAATTTTTGTAGCAAAAAAAAAAAAAAAAAACCTAAATGAAATGAGTGGATCGAGACTTAACCCATACCTGGACCAAACTGACCTTACCCATAACCCAACTTCTACAAGCCCGGTTTGCTCACCTGATCTAGCCCACTTATTCCATTTAAACCTGCTCTAAATCCACCAAATTGGGCTCCCCTTTTATTTTAGATCATATTGGGTTTAAACCCATAGACTATTTGGGTATATTTTCTGCTCTCATTTTATTTTATTGTGGTATTGCATGCATTGATTTAATGTTGAATACCTTAAAAAATAAACTTATTTGTGGATGATTAAGCTTGATAAAAAAAATTCTATATAAACTCTTAAATAAAAATAAATTGAAATAATTTTGCACTTTTAAAATGTATTTTGAAAAATGAAGTTCTAGAAATAAAATAGAACAATATTTATACAAAATACTTTTTCTTAAAAAAATGATTTTAAAATCCTTGCCTAGATGTTAGATGGAATTCAAAATCATGTTTTAAAAAATTAATTCAATCTAGATGTTAGGGAATTAAAAAATTAAAAATAAAAAAAGTTAAGTTAAATTAAATTAAATTAGAATTTAAAATATAAAATAAAAATTTCACAAGTAAATTAAATAACAAAAAAATTTATTTCACTTTTAGAAAGAAAATGGTAATAAGTAAATAGGAATAAAATATATACAAAAATTGATTAAACTGGTTATCATAATTTTTAACTTTCATTTGCATAATTTATTTGTTTCATGTTGCATCAAAATAAAACTATCAAGGAAAAAGGAAATTACAAAGACTAAACATGTTTCAAAAGTCCACATAAATGTTAGGGATAATTGAGGAAGTTTGGGCTATTGATCTATCTCATTTTTCTCATAAAAAAATTTTCAAAACCCTAAAACGAGACCCTAAATCCTAAAAAACCTATCACAACCCAAACCCTAAATTTGACTTACAACCCCAAATCATCACCCAAAAACTCATTCGAACCCTAAAAACCTTAACCTAAGCCCACACCAAAAACTATTCCAAAATTCTAAGGGTTCATATAAATATCTCATATAAAGTAGTTTGTTCCTAAATATTGCCTAGATGACAGGGTATATAAGAAATCTTATTTCATTAAGTTTTTTGTACGAGTCATTAATCCACAATAATAATCAGATTAAATCAAAAAAAAATAAAAAAAAAGAGACTTTGAATATAAATAATTACACATAAACTCTGTCTAGAGGTTGAAGAATTTAGCTGGTCTCATTATATTTAAGAACTTATTTCAAAATGGCATTTCATCATTATGCATATCATCTATTGGTATATATACATCTATTTATCATTATTTACATTCATTTCGCATGTTTATACTTTTTACTATTCTTTTTTAGTTAATTGTAACATCATCAATTTTTTTGCATAAAATATTTTTTATGAAAAGTTTCATTCAAAAAATAGATTTTTAAATAAAACCAAATTAACATTCTAAGAGAAATAATTTTTTGTACTCTACCTACATGTTGAAAAGTTACCAATAATTATCATCTACAAAAAACATTATTTTCATTTTAAGGAATGTTGTGGCAAGTCTTAAGTGAAAAAAGTTATCCATAAATTCTGCCTAAATATAGGAGAATTTTAAGATAATTCTTTAACTTAAATATTTCCTTGATATTCATAAATAAAGAATTTTAATAAAATTTTTTTTTTTTCAAAAATTAAGGGAATTATTATTAAATTTCAAAATGAAACCATTTTATCCAATACCAAAATAATCCATGATTAATAGTATCAATTTTCATGAGCACTGTAAATGTGTTAATCATTCCTTACGCGTAACCAACTCCTAAATTTAATTCTATTTTCGTAGACAGAAAATTATCTTTTTAATAAACTTTAAACCTATTTTTATTGTTTTATTAAAAAAATAAATTTTTTAAGAGGTCAATCACACCAAATAAAAAAGATTAGTGACAACTTTCTCTATTTTTTTTTATTTTTCAAAATTTTACATCTAATGGTCCCAAAACGGTTATGACATGTTTAAATATGGTATGTTGAATTTCAAAAGGAAATCTCTTTAAATGTATCATATTTTCCATCTTATAATTATTCAAAACAAAATAACTACGTCTAACAAAATAATAAAATAAAATAATGAAACACCATTTTAATTTATTTACATTTATTGGCATATAAAAGGTCATATCAACTTTTCTCATAATATTGATAATAAATAATGCAATTATATTAAATAACATTAATGAATTGAAAAAAAAAATGAAAGATAAAGGTCTTAGAAACATATTTATATTTGGGAATTAGAAAGATCATAAACTTTAAAAAATTATAATAAAATATAAATTAGAAATATATTTATATTCAAGATTCAAGATTCAAGATTAAGCTAGGAAAATAAGTTACATTGTAACACTATATACACTATGGTTTGACCAAAAAAAAAGTAATAATGAATTTGATTTCTAAAATTGTTAAATAATAAATCTATATTATTAACTATTTATTTTGAGATAATTGAAAAGTTTCAACAAGTTATGTCTATTACAATTCCACATTAAAAGTTAAACGTTAGTAAAACTTAATAATATATGAAACTTATTAAATAGATAAATAAAATGTGTGTGACTTCAAGTAAATATTACTTGTTATCCCAAAAGGTAAGCATCAAGAAGTGATAGAGTCTTGTATATTAATAGATCGTACTTATGGAGAAATTGCATTATGCTCACTTTGAAAACTAGCATGTGAGTATTAGATTATGATGATAATGGTAATATGGATGAAGAGAATGTTAGATTCAATCGTTGGTTATTAAACATTGGAAAGAGCAAAGTACAAGCAATTTGTAGACATGAACTTGATCCATGTTGGATTGAAATTCCAAAAGAATTTGTTGTCAACACGAACGGAAAACCAATAGATGCAATAATTGATACTACTTATTTAGATTTTTATGAGACAAAATGATAGAAATTACCTTTTTGAAAGGGTGATTCTCACTCCTTTTAAAAAAATTACACATGAGGTTAATGAATGTATGATAAATTTATTAGAAGGTGAAATCAAAATTTATAGAAGCAGTGATGAGATTTTCAAGGGTTATATGTAAAATGAAGAACAAAATGATATGTATCCAATTGAGTTCCTTAATAGTTTGGATTTCCCTGGTATGCCTTGTCATTTGTTAAAGTTAAAGATTAGTATACTTGTTATGCTATTAAGGAATGTGAATCCAAGTTTGGGAATGTGTAACGATTCGTGCTTAATTATTACTCAACTAGGTGATTGGATGGTTGAAAGTAAAATAATGTCTTAAACCAATATAGGATCCAAAGTATTGTTTCGAAGGATATCAATGACTTCTCAACAAACAAGATGGCCATTCGTTCTAAAATGAAGGCAATATCCATTAAAACCATGTTATGCAATGACAATTAATAAATGTCAAGACAATCATTAAAATATATTGGTCTATATTTGCCAAAACCAATTTTCTATCATGGCTTATTGTATATGGCCATTTCTCATATAGCTTCACCATCAGGGTTAAGAATTGTGATTTTAGAAGATGATGATAGGTTTAAATATCATACAAAAAACATTGCATAAATAGAGGTTTTTAATAGTATATTTTCATAAATAGCTTAGTTTCATTTTCATGTTTTAATTTATGTCTTGAAAAAACAAATTATTATACATTTTAACGAATAAATTATCATACTTTTATTAATACAAAATTTTATACCATATTACCAATTTCATGTGTATATTTGTTGTGATAAATTTTTTTTCATGATTTTATGTTATAAAATTAATCATGCAAAATACAAGCATAAAAACGTAGTTTAAGTAGAATTTTAGGACTTATTTGATAAATGAATTAAACTCAAAGATATTGATCCAAATTTCATCATACTCATGAAACAAAGCTTGTACGGTTTGTAAATTTGAAATTTATTTTAAATGGTTCGTCTATCTATTTTATGAAGTGGATTTTCATGATGTTGGTTTCCACCTTATCACTCGCAAATTTTCTTTTTTTTTTTACAATCTTTTGGTTGGTCCTTTTTGTTAAAAAAAATAGAAGATTATGAATATATTGGATAAAAAATAAAACCCTAATACCAATAAAAATCTAACTTTTAATGTTCAAAAACAGCCACTTGGTAATGATTTTTTAAATCACTGAGTCATTTATTAGAATTTAATTCATCTTGTGACAACTTTTATTAATTGAAGTCTAAAATATTACTCCATCATATATTAACATTTCTTTCCTTTGTTTTTTTTACCAATTTGCCTGGTTTAGTTGAAACTATTACCAAAAATGCTGTTCGAGTAAATCTATTCTAAAAATACTATAAAAAGAAAGTTAAAATTTTGTTTGACAAACTTAAACCAGAAGTGATATAAAATAATTATTTGATAATATTTTTAATAAAAAATAAAATAGTTAATTTTATTAAACTAAATCACAAGATTTTAAGTGAAAAAATAAAAAAAAATAAAAAGATACTTTTAATTAAATTAAAAATAAAACAACTAGAAAAATTAAACCAGATAAAAAATAAGAATGTGAAAATATAATTTTCTAATAATTTTATAAATTATTGAAAAGTAAAATAAAAAATAAAAACTTAAATATTTGTTATTAAATATTAGCATTTTTTAAAAATATGATTTATAGTTTCGTCTAAATTCTCATATCAAATATGCTTTAGGTAATTATAAAAATAAAAAAATTTTGGAAACTAAACGCCAATACTTGTTCTTTTGTAATAAAAAAAAAAAAAACTGTCATAATATGAGCTAAACAAAAAATTACAATTACTAATTTACGACTGCTAATTACCCCCGAAATTCACTTCAACCCTTTCTTACGCGACACGATCACAATCCCAATACATTTACCAAGTTACCAGCCTGATCCCCGTCATTTTACTGACCCCATACCCTTCTCCTGTAAGTTGCGTGCGCTCTAAGTCTAACTCTCTCTCTCTCTCTCTCGCTCTCCCTTCGCCAAGGAGTCATTGACTTGCCTTTGAACCTCTCATATTCCATCACTTCCCCAAGAAAATTCATTTCAATAAAACCAATCACCCAATGAAAGCTGCCAACCGAGAAAAAGCCGAAGCCACCCAAACTAACGACGAAGACAAAGAAGAGCTCAAATCAGTCCTCACTCTCCAACGTCAACAACTAATGGAAGCCAAAGCGTTAGACTCCGACCTCGACTTTGCTTTCCAACTCCAAATGCTAGAAGCCGTTACCGCTTCTCTTTCTCTTCATCACGAATCCACTTCCCAAGACGTCACCGTATTGCCTGCTTCCGAAATGGTTGTCGACTACTTAACTCTCATGCTCGAAGACATAGACAGGTTCGAGATGGAACGTAAGGACATGGAAGAGAGCGAGGAAGAGATGAGAAAACTTAGGAACGATCTCAACCGTTCGATTCATGATCAAAACTTTGCTAGGTACATCATGAATGTCCCCGAAGAAGAATGGAGGAACTACGGAGACAACTACGAAAGACCATATGATGGAAATGTTGAAACCGGTGGCGTTTCAAGTGAGGTTTTTAGAGTTTATGTTAAAGGGTTGGTAAGTGAAGAGAGGGTAAGGGAGATGAAAGTTACAGTGGGGGGTGTTGGAGTTGCCATCTGTGATTTCAGAAATAATTTGGTTTTGGAAGTGAGGAAAAGGTTGGAGGGGGCGGAATTCATGAGTAGTGAAATGGCTGGAGTTGAGGCTGTGGTCCATGGGCTTAATGCGGCTTTGAGTGTGGACTTGAAAAGGGTTACTGTTTTTGTTGATGATTTCTTGGTTTATCAATATGTAAGTTCACAATGTTAGGCCTTTCTTCAAGTTTATGTTGGTTTTCAATTATGGCTAGCTTTTAGTTTGAACTTTAAAACGGTTTCTGTTTCTGTTGATGATTTCTTGGTTTATCAATATGTAAGTATACAATGTTATGCCTTTCTACTTGGTTTTCAATTATGGGTAGCTATGAGTTTGGACTTGAAAAAAGTTTCTTTCTTTGGTGATGATTTCTTGGTTTATCAATATGTAATTTCACAATATTGCCATTCTTCAAGTTAAGTTTGGTTTTTAATTATGGGTAGTTTTGAGTTTGGACTTGAAAAGGGTTTCTTTTTTTGTTGATCATTTCTTGGTTTATTAATATGTGAATTTAGAATTTCATGCCTTCTTTCGGATTTTGGGAATTGCATGTTTTTCTATATGTTGCTAAATTATTCTCTGCTTCGGGTTTCGTTAATATGGGAGTCTAAAATGTTACACCCTTCTTCAAGTTTTTGTTTATTATTTTTTATTTTATTTTTTAATTATGCCAATTGCATGTTTTGGTATGTTGTTAACGGATTATAACCATTGGAATGGTGGGATTTCATTTATGACTTTTTTGATGCCTCTGGCTCTGGTGTTTGTGCTTCAATATATGCACTTTTTTGTAGCCTTGGTAGTGAATTCTTTTGTTGATTTCTTATATAGAATTTTTTGAAGATTATGGGATGGCTAATTGAGGGAATTAGTTGTAGGCCGCACGATGTATAGTCGTCATTTATCTTTTCTTTAGGGTGGTATAGCTTTGATAGATCTCCTTTGTGTTACTTTTATCATGTGGGTGCATTGATAGGTGATTTTTGCTGAGATAAAGACATGGTTTTGGAGATGTAAGTAATAGAAATCCTTGGACAAAATGGTTAATAAATAAGCAACCCCCTTCTTTGGAATTTAAGGCCTTTACACAATTAGACGTTTAGTTAAGTTGGTTGTTGGTTCAGTCAAGTCTATTCCTGTATTAAAATATGATTTTTTTTTTTTTTTAATAAATTTTGCGCTAATTTGGTCAGGCCACCTCATTATTGTAACTAAATAGGCAATAAATCGCTTGGGCTATTGGTGCTTTAATTGAGTTTCTTTTTCTAAATTATTTTATATGTATACTGTGTTATAGAAGTTGCTGGTTACAAGTTGAAAATTCTGATTGCTTTTAGCATCGTTTGATTCAACATTCATTTTCTTCAGTCTTTCCCTTTGATGATTGTTTTGATTTATCTTTTGTTGATGCTAAATAATGGTAATTCTTAGTTTGTCTTGGGTAGGCTAAATTTTATCAGTGTCATATTTGGTTTTCAATTGGCAAAGGATTGTTACTGGTAAGCTATTAGTGTTTGCAATCTTTGGGAATTAAGATCCAATGCCTTTTATATTTTATTTATATTTAGGCTTTTATAAATACCTAAATGGAGATGGTTTGCTGTCCACTTCTGAATATAGCTTACAAGCAGATTGCAACCAAGACACAGCAAGATGGGGACAATAGTTAATGAGGTGGCTCTTCTACAAAAGAAATTTACTTATTGCCAAACATCCCTTGTGACACGTAATGATATGAAATTTGTGTTCAAGCTTGCAAGAGATGCTATAGTCTCTCAAATTGCATGGCCTGCAGAAACTAGCAATGGCAGGGGTTTGAAGGAGACTTGTGTGATATGTTTTGAAGATATTGATGCTACCCAGATGTTTTCGGTTGATGGTTGCTTTCACAGGTATTGCTTTCCTTGTATGAAGCAGCATGTAGAAGTCAAATTGCTAAATGCAATGGTGGCTAGTTGCCCACATGAAGGCTGTAATTCTGAGGTGACTATTGATAGCTGTGGAAAATTCCTGGATCCTAAATTAGTTGAGATCATTAGCAATCGCAAGAAGGAGGCTTCTGTTGCTGCTTCAGAGAAAGTTTATTGTGCATTTCCAAGGTGTTCTGCATTAATGTCAAAAAATGAGGTCTTACAATATACTAAAACTGTATGTCTTGGTGCTGAACACTCTGGAGCCAGAAAATGTGTGAAATGCCATCGCTTTTTCTGTATCAATTGCAAGGTTCCCTGGCACTATGATATGACCTGCTATGATTACAAAAGATCAAATCCTCATTCCACTAAAGAAGATGCAATGCTTAAGTCTCTTGCTACTGAAAAACTATGGCGACAGTGTATAAAGTGCAAAAATATGGTTGAACTTGCTGAAGGGTGCTATCACATCACTTGCAGGTATGTAACCTTTCTTCTTTTTCCTTGGAAGATATAGCAATGTGATATTTCATGTGATTTAACGAAGGAAGAAGAAACTATGTATGTGTAAAAAAAAGAAGGGGTGGGGGGAGGAGGGGGTTAAGGGAAAGGGAAAAAGGGATGGAGGGATTGTGGTTAAAATCTTGGATCAAGAAATGCCATCTCTAGTCTTTACTACTTTTAGTGGTTCCGTCTGCTTTCATAAATATTAGAAAGCAAGGGTTTGATATTTTCTTGATGACTATTTACTTTGCTCCTTGTTGGAAACAAGATCATGATAAATTAAAACCTGTTACTTTGTTTTTAATTAACTATTTTTGCGTGCTAACACTTTCATGTATCCCTTTTGCAGATGTGGATTTGAGTTTTGCTACACTTGTGGAGCTCAGTGGCATAACAAGAAACCAACATGTTCATGTCCAATCTGGGATGAGCGAAATATTATACGTGATCCACGAAGGAGGCAATGATCTGCAGTACAATAATATGAAGACAATGAACTCTAACTGAAGAATTTAGGCAATTTACTTCCATGAATTCCTGCTTTCCCTTTTCTTGCTCTGCTTCTCCGTTTTCTCAAAACTAAATATTTGGGGTTTAAGGTTTTTGTTTCATTGAGGGTGCACTGGATAAGTTTATGGGAATTTGATAAGAATTTTATTTTGTGGATTTTAACTAGAAATTTGCTTGCAAGGTTAGGCTTACATTGTTATTTTTTAAAAATTTTGGCATTTAGTTGCCATTTTCTTGCCAAGGTATTGCATATTGCCAGACCCTTTGATGAAAGGTCCCTTTGGGGAATTGCATAGAACTGTTCAGGCACAAAACATTGCATGGGGATTGGTAGCAAGCTTGCAACCTTTGGCATGTCAGCTTTGTAACAAGTAATGTATGTTGCACACCCTTTCAATTTGTATGGAGGTTACTGCTCAAAAACGCACACACTTTCTCCTTTTCCCCTTCCTCTTCTGGCATGGAACAAAGAGGTTGCTTTTTGTTCAACAATATTTCTTCTCTCTCACTATAGTTGAGGCACTTTTATTAGCTATATATATATATATATATATATATATGTATGTATATATATATATATATATTTATATATTTTTTAAGCTATAGAGCTGCTTGACCATGTGATTTGTGAAGCCGATTCCATGTGCCTTTATTAAGTCATGGACTCTTTGTCTGAATAACATAGACAATGTCTTGGAGAAATCTTTGGATGTGAATCTTGCAACAGTGTTTGTGCATCAAATTGACTAATTAAGTAGTAGTAGTAGTAGTAGCAGCAGCAGCAGCAGCAGCAGCAGCAGCAGTTGTTGTAAGGACCATTTGAGCACTCTGGCCATGGTGGGTGGTGATGGTGCCATTCCTCAAATCTGCCACGAATCATGTGCTCTTTGGGGGATCAACCTTGTCTTCTGGTCCACCACCCTTTTCTCCCTTTCTATGTTTTCCCCAATGAACATATTCTCTATATATCTCGCGTAATGGCTTAGTGTCATTTCATCTTGTTTTCAACCAATGTAAGAGTTGGAAAGTTGCCAATTCATGGTGGAGCAAAGAGAGTTTTCACATCAATGGCCACATTTTTCTGCAAACGTAATTTCGAAGCTGTTGCAAAGTTCGAATTAATCGTGTTGGGACCCATGCTTAGAAAACCCACCAAATAACAACTCAAAGTACTTGTGTATCTTCTTTCATTCAAAGCTTCAAGTTTTTATCAAACAGTAAGACGAATTGAAATTACAGATTGAATCTTGGAGTGAACGGCAGGGGCCAGGAAAATGCATCAATTTCGACGAAGCCCTGCACCAAAAATTATGTGACGGCGTTTCTTACCGGTAAAATACATGAAGCAGGCAACCCTTTGCCCGATCCTACCACTTCCACTGCCTCTGACATAGGTAAACACTCTGACAAATACCCATTTGTGCACTCCTTACAAATCTCCCACCTTCCATGTCCAATCTCCAGTCTCACAAAAAAAAAAGGGGGAAAAACCAAAACCAGCCCATTAAATAAGGTCTTTTTTTTTTCTCACCGAGCCTTTCTATTTGAACTTTTTCTCGTTTCTTTTCATTTCCACATATACAGGTCTCTTACTTTAATGTTAATATATATATATATATATATATATATATATTTATATATACCCATTTACTTCTGCGTCACGTTCAAGTCTTTTAGATTCTGTTTATCTGAACTTCAAAACCACAACCCTTTATTTTTTCTTATATGTTTTCATCAAAAGAAAAAGATGGAGGGTGGTGAGCAGGAGAAGGAGCAGTTTAGAACAGCGTACGTCGGCGTAGCACCGGATAATGCAGCAGTTTTAAAGATGTTGTTCGTGAATTCATCAGGGGATTGCTTGACATGAGCGTGGAATTCGGGAGAGGGTGTAGGGATGTGGTGCAGCAGAGTTTAGTTACAGAGGATTCGTTTTTAGTAAGGAATTTTGGTAAGGATTCGTACATTGGTCGTAAAATTAAGGTTGGTTACGACAACGCTTTGAGGAGATTAAAGTTGTTTAATGAGTACTTGGTTCCTGAAGATAAGGATCGGTTGCATGCTTGGTCTGTGATCTTCTTCGTCTTTGTTCTTGCTCTTGCAGGTATTGTTCGTTTTCTTCTTCTTCTTTTTTTACTTTTATTTTTTCCTATTTTGTTGTTGGTTTGATTGGTTATATATGGAATTACATTAATTGTTTTTTTATTTTTTTATTTTTAATTTGACTCTGTTTTTTACTAATAGGAGGAGGAAATCTGAATTATGCTAAATATAGTTGATTGTTTTTGAAGAAAAATATAGTTGATTTTCAGTTATCTGGGAATTCTATAATGTAATTAAGGTGAATTATTAGTTATTATAACTAAATTATAAAGAAAATTTGGTAGCATAGAATGTATCAATCTGACATTTTCAATAGAATGTATCAATCTGACATTTTCAATGTAAAATTATTATGGATCATATTTTCTGTATGTGGAATTATTTCGTTTTGTTGCCCTTCAAAGGTCTGGAGTCTAGACTCTAGACTACCAAATTCGGCATTGAGAAAGTTTTGTTCTCATCTATACATATCAGCATTTAAAAGCAATAGCTGTTTAGTAATGTTTGTGCCTGCTTATGCCTCTCTTTGTAACAATGGCTGTTGTGCTTGAATGTAATTTGCAGTTGCTTTAATTTTAGATTGGTTATTTTTCAGCCTTATGGGGATGTTTCTCTGGAAACCTCTGAACTTGCGGCCTACAAACATGTCTTGTACCTTCTATTATCAATATGGTATAGATGTATAGTGTAAATGTAAATGAAAATCAATCAAACATTTTCTGCAGTTTCTGCCTTGGTAATTCTTCTTCCTCATGCTGTAGGCAGGACGTTTTGTTACTGCCACCCACTCAGCCTACATTTTCTTTTTGATTGCATAGGATGATTAATCTGGATAATGCATTCATTTTTCTTGCGTTTAAATTGAGCACTTACTGACCAAAAAAAAAAAAAAAAAAACAATATTGCAGTCTTAAGTTTAAGTATAGAACATGAAACTGCCATCCCAGTGGCAAAGAAAGTGTACATACATCCCCCAAGTGCTGATCGCATAATGCTACCAGATAGTCGATACATGGCATATAGAGAGCACGGCATTCCAGATGACAAAGCTAGATTTTCAATGATCATTCCGCATTCGTTTCTTTCTTCCCAACTTGCAGGTTTGGTATCAAAATTGAGTATATAAGAACTTGGTTATACCGAGTGACATATGCTCATACAATTCACACTTATTTTCTCAGTCTGTGTCTTTTCTGCCCCCAAATACTAGGGATTCCAGGACTTAAGGCTTCACTACTAGAAGAGTTTGGTGTGCAATTGTTAACATATGATCTTCCAGGTTTTGGTGAGAGTGATCCTCACCCCAAGCGAAACCTTGAGTCATCAGCATCAGATATGTTGTTCTTAGCAAATGCTCTTGGTGTTAGTGACAAGTTTTGGATAGTTGGTTACTCAAGCAGTAGCCTGCATGCTTGGGCTGCTCTCAAATATATTCCTGATAGACTTGCAGGTACTAATTTCATTTTATCTGCACTAATGTTAGTTTGTAACAGTTTCTTGCATCATCTCTAGTATATCCTTATGTTGGCTGGCTAGGAACAAAAACTATATGAAAAATTATTTCTTTCAAAATTGCATAATGAAATTAATTAATTGTTCTTTATTAGAAATAAAAAGACTTTGCACATGTCATGCTCAAACAGTTTACTTTGTTTAACCAAGAAAGTTTATGCTCTTTAACATGATACTATTAAAGTGATAGTCATCTTTTGCTCTTCCTGCTAAAGATTTGTTACTTGGAACTTTGATTCTGCCAATGCTGCATCTCTTTAGTAATGGAAATCTTTCCCTGGAAAACAGGAATAAAACAGGGTTGCTTCTGAAATACTTTGATGCATGTATTTATCTTCTGTTCTTGGTGAGTAAAAGAGCTGGAGAGAATGCCCAATTGGTTTGCTTTTAGGAGAAATCATACTGTGAAAATTGAAAATGAGATTTTCTACAAAATAAAAGGTGTTATTGTGTCTAGTTGCAAGGGAGCTCAGATAATTCAGGAGATAGCTGACAGAAGCACCGATCTTTCCACTTAAATATTACTGCACTGAAACAAATGGGCTATTTTGGTGAATTAATCATTTAAAATTGTTTGTGATTTAAGAATTTCTGTGATTTCTCATTTTTTTGCATGGTTATAGCTTATAGGAATGAAACTTCCCACTGTACTGCAGGGAAGCAATCCTCTTTGATTCACCAAGGCTAATTTGCAGGTGCAGCTATGTTTGCTCCAATGGTTAATACCTGCGATTCACTGATGAATAGGGGAGAAAAATATAGAACCTGGGAAAAGCGGTCCTGGAAAAGGAAATTTATGTTCTTTTTGGCTCGAAGATTTCCTAAATCTCTATCTTAATTCTACTGGCAAAGCTTCCTCTCTGGAACGCATGGTCAGATCGATCAGTGGCTAGCAATGACACTGGAAGGAGGGTAAGTGATTCTGAACACTGTGAACTCTTTAAGGTTCAGGAAGCCAGTTAAGTTTAGTGTTTCATATGTAATTTTTTTTTCAATAACACTCTATGGTTTTGAATGTGGAAATACATTATATTGTAAACAAGTTAATAGTTTGCTGCATCATTTGTGAAGCATCTAATCTAGATTCTTTAAAGTTACCGCATTTCTTGTCTTTCTAGGATAGGGCTTTGATAGAAGATCCTATCTATGAAGAATTCTAGCAAAGGGATGTTGAAGAATCAATCCGACAAGGAAATGCAAAACCTTTTGTGCAGGAAGTTGTGTTGCAAGTCTCAAATTGGGGTTTCAGCCTTGCAGACCTCAAATTGCAGAAGAAACAGAAAGGGAAAGGCATGCTCAATTTGATTAAGTCTTTACTTAGTAGCTCTAAGGAAGAACATACTGGTTTCCTCAGTCCAATATACACATATCGCAGGTATACCTCCATACTCATATTCATATATTTCCACTGCATTATATTGTACTGCTACATTTTTTTCCTGTTCTTTGAGACATATGATGGACTTAGTGATCTTTTGTTCTTTACTAGGAGTCATGAGATGTGATAGCTATGAAGTTATTTGCTTTAAAAGTTCTCTTTTTCCCATTTTTTTGTGGTTAATTACTTACAAATTGTTATCAAAGTTAAGTTGCTTTACATATTGGATTCATGCAGTCATACTAATATAATTGTTGGAACAACATTTTTTTCAAAATCTATGTAATGGGTTTTATAACAAAGAACCCTCCTCTCAGAAACCAAAAAAAGGCTAGTCTTCTGTTATTGCTCAATCCATGCCCATGCCCAATTCATTGAGTACTCAAACTCAATACATCAAACTTTCTTTTTTAAAGGAGGTATCCCTGGCATATAATAGTGAAATAACTTTTTTTTTTTTTAAATTCCCAAGATATACATTTTTTTTTATCTAAAATTGGATGACTCCTATTTCCTTGCAACCTATAAGCTACTGTTCATTTTGTAGTTTGAGAGCAGAACAAGACTTGGATTACTATTTTAATTTGGAATGGTTATTGAATTTGTATATTAATTGAACTTCTGTCTTCTTCTCTTTTTTTTTTTTTAATTTTATTTGCTGAATTTTCTGGTTTTACACGGGATGGATGATAAAGTGGTTCCATCTTCAACGACTGATTTTGTTCATAGAGTTCTACCGGGGGCTGCAGTGCATAAACTCCCATATGAGGGTCATTTTACATATTTCTGTTTTTGTGATGAATGCCACAGACAGATATTTTGGAACCCCACAAAGCCCTCTCAACAATACCATAGAAGAAGAGCAAACTTCTGCTGATGATATAGAAGTGCAGGAAGAGGTAACTCGGGCTGATTTTAGGACAGACTGAGATATCAAATTTTCTATAATAGGCTGACATGTAAGGTGTATATAGCATACACTCATTCTATTACTTGTGAGTAAAAAATTTAGAAGAACAAAATTTCTAATATTTTTGCGGTGGGATTGAGAACCTTTTGAAGATTTTAGCTACAACAAAAATAATCAAGAAAAAATGATTTGTTCTGATTCACTGTTACTTGCTCTCAATTTTGATCTGGAAACTGTAGTTTTATCTTGTGATTGCATCGAAAATCAATTGTCACCTAAGGCTTCTTGTTGCCTATGTTTCTTAAACTGCTGTTTAAAATGTCTGGCATCAAGCCGTGACTGCAGTTTTAATGTGAGGAGAAACTGGAGGAGTGACTGCTGCTGCGAAACAAACTAGTTTCAACTGAGCAAAGTGCAACCTATTAGGGACTTGTTCTGTGGTTTTCTATTGTCAATATCTTCAGTAAGGCTATGTTTGGAAGGAAGGAAAAGTAGAAAAATAGGAAACTGTTGTATTGAAGTAAATTATGCCATACGGTATGGTAAGGAAAGTGGTATAGCATAATCATCAGATCAAAAGGCTTTCCCCATACCTTTTTCTTCCTTTGCATAAACAACGCAAAATTTGCAGCAGTTTTCAGATAGTTTATGGTGGGTTGGTTATGTCAGAGGATGAGTCTCTAGCTGCCTGTGACGATGTATATAGACGGTCACCAGCATAGCAACTACCAGCTGGTTTGGAACATGCTGTTAACTTTACCATGTTACCTACCATCCAAAGCACCAACATCAGATTCAATCTATATCTAGATCAATCGTTTTATTTATATCTTGAACATTTTTCGAATTGATATAACCTTTTTTTTCTACTAGAAAAAGTTCTAGTGATTCTTATTAGATGGAACGACCGATGGAAATTTTAGACCCGACAAAAGAACAAAAGTAAAGGATGAAAATCAAGCATCAGAAACTAGAAAAAGGCAATAGAATAGCTTGTTATTAAACAGTTCTGCTTCGCTGTAAGCGCGGGCCACTTCTCCCATCAATGTGCAGCTGCATGCCTAAACCATTAATCACTTTTGTCTCTTCATGCCCATCAACTATTCCTTGTGCATTGCCATTAATAACCCAAACCTGCGTGCTAGAACCTTCATCAACGGCCCTTGAACCTTGGCAACAAGAACCCTCCTCAGACGGCAATCTGAGGAGCCAGGTAAGATCATAACATTTGGTCCTGTATAAGAAAATGATTGCTGTTGAAACAAGAAGCTGAATGATCCAAGGAGAAGTGGCTAGGACTACACCAGATATGGAGAAAATTTGGATGTAGATAACTTCTTGGGTGTTGGCTGTGGCCAGCCGGAAGAGGAATATGCCAATGATGGTGATCCAGAGAGAGTGGACGATAATTGAGCGAAAGCGGAATCCACCTTGGCCGGACATTTGGAGCTGCATTTGCTTGGAAAGAGAGGCAGGGGTTGGCAGCATAACGTTAACGGTTAAATGGTGCAGAATGTTAGGGGAAAGTTATATATTCACAATATGAAGAAATCCCGAGTTGGTTGTTATTATTTCTCTCAATTTTTGAATTTGAGCTTTATCATTTCACGGCCAAATAAATTTATAAATCTCAATGGAAATAAGTGTACTGTTTTATTCTTAAAAAGAAAAAAAATTGTACCATTTTATTTTTTGATAATAAGTGTGCTGTTTTATTGAAAAGCAAAAGTCATTAACTTGAAATAATTTTAACGCCTTTTGTCATTTTAGTAATTTTTAAACGGATCAAAATAAATAATTTTTATTAAAATTTTAAAATATCATTTTAAATTAATTTTTATTTATTATAATTTTAAATTTTAAAAATAAGAATAGTTTTAACAACAGAAAATAAATTTAATATATTAAATTACAGTCATTATGATTAAATTAAAATTCTTTTAGAGGTTAACAACTAAATTCCTAAAAGAAGAAATTTAGTTTTCAACTATTTAAAAATACAAATCAACAGCATTCATGAACTAATAATATCCTGATTGGAAAAATTTTTAAACTTCATAAATGCAATTAACAATTACAACGTTTTTATTATATTAATTTATTAATTATTTTAAATATATCGTAATAAGATATCATTTTTCATTAACTGAATGCCAGACACAGTTAGGTTGTGCCAACGATGGCCTGTGTGGTACAGTAATGGGCTATGGTATGCATGGTTATTGGGTTATGGGCCTTATGGCAGACAAGGCACGGCACTTTGTCTGGCCCAACAGTTTTTTTTATTTTCATTTTTAAATAAATTAATAAAAAATCATAAATAACTTATTTATGGCATTAAAAAAAAAAAACTCATTTATGAATTTGTCTCAGTGGGCATATGGATGCGTATGCACTTCCAATTAGGTACAATTAAATTTCAATCATCATAAGTCGAATTTAAATATTAATTTTAGTGAGATTTATTAAATATAAATTTTTTATTAAAATTTTTTTAATCATAATTACAATATTTTTTTTAATTACAGCTATGATAAATTTTATTTTTTTTTTTCAATTTCATCTAAATTAATCTTATCGTTCATCCAAATAAATTTAAAAAATCAAAATACGTAACAAAAATTAAAAATAATTTTAAAAAATAAAAAATCATGTACTCATATTAGAATGGTTGAATGGACTGACCATGCAATATCAATTTGATACATATGATTTAATTTACATTTACTAGAAAGATTTACCCGACTTCGATCGGGTCATAATTTTATTTAATATAAATAAATACTATGTATTTATACAATAATATCTAAGTCGAATAAATCAATAAATTCATTTAATTGAACTACATTGATGCATAAAATAAAAATTAAAACTTAATTTTAAATGATCCAAATCTAGAACTTAAACTTTTACAACATATTCAAACAAGAAAAAACTAAAACTAAAATATAACAATTTGAAATTGATTAATGAATTTTTATACTGAAACAAAAATAAGACAACTTGAATTTGATTAAAGGTTATTTACACTATCAAATCAATATGTTAAACTTAAATTACACTAATCACTAAACACATTTATTGTAATTAATTGAATTCATGGATATCATAAATTTATGAATAGTTTAACTCATAAATAGTTTGACTCATGCAATTTGGGTTTGATCCATGATTATTTATATTTCTCAATAATATATATAACTCTAAACTCAAAATATTAAATTTAAATAACACTAAGCATGAAATACATTCATTCATAATTAATTGATTTCATGGATGACATAAGTTCATGAAAGGTTAAATTCATGTATAGTTAGATTCATGTAATTTAAAATAAAAAATAAGAACATTAGTGAATAGCATCCACGAACTCAATTAATTCCAAACCATACAATATATGTCTTGCAACTCGTTCAACTCAACCCAATCAAAATCTCATAATTAAAGAAACGTGTTGTTTAATTAAATATCTTAATTAATCAAATGTGAGCTCATTTCTCCAAAACCCAAAAATAATAGTTGGGTACAGATTATAAAAAATTATAAATCTATCTGTTTAATCCATATTTTTAATTTTTTTTATATTGTTAAATGATTAAAACATGTTCATAATCTAAAATTTTAAATATGCATGTAAATAAAAAAACATATAAAGAAGCAAATCAATAAATAACAAAATAAAAAAAATACATAAAATAAAACAAAATAAACTAAAAAAAATGAAACTAAAATGAAAATAACAAAAAAAATACCTTGTCATATGACAATCATTGGGCAACTCGACAATTGAATTACCCTTACACAATTAACTCCAAAATTATGATGCAAAAGTCTAAACCAACCCCAAATATATCACTCAATATCTTAATTAACTTTGAAATCATAATTAATGTCACCACACACACGTTATCTCCAAATCATGTTTTAATTGCACAAATGGCTTAATCTGCTTTATTGGAGATAACTTTAATATATACCTATACATATTTTCAAGTTCTAATTTTTGTTCAGGTTGAAATTTTTGACGCATTCAATTTTTTCATATAACCAATCCAATAAAAGGTTTGAAGAAATAACATAAATAATAAAGAAGAACAATGAGAGAGAAAAGAAGGATAAATTTAGAGGTGTAAATAAAGGGAGCTTTTGATGAATTATTTGTAAATATGTTTGGTTTCTATTTGTTTATATTTATTTATTAAACTTAAAAAGCTATCTTAAACAACATTTTAATTTTCTTTAATAAATGAACTAAGCACAAACAAAAGTTTGCTTCGTTTGTTTATATTCATGAATAAGTTTGTTTAAGGTTTGTAAACAAATTCAATAAATATTCGTTTTTACTTTATTTTTAATCTTTCTAAATGACTACTTTATGATTAAATATCTTTTAAAAATAATTTTAATCGTAATTTACTATTAATACATTGAAAAGTACACTTAACATATAATAAAATCTTTCATAATTTTTTTAAAAAAATTTTTAAAAATAGTTTTGAATCGTCTAAAATGGACAATAAACAAGTTATAGATGAGACTTTTGTTTATAGTTTTTTATCTCACATAGCTTGAAAAACTAATATGAAAGGAAACTCTTTATAAATTGACTTGTCCCCTTCACTCCTAAGAGCCAAAGTCGTTAGTTTGCAAAACCAATTTTTTAGTCATTAATTTATGTTCATTTTATATGTTTGTGAATATGTCTCTTTAATGAGTTCATTTAATTTATTTAAACAAACCAAATTTGAACACTCTAATATCTAAAAGAACTAAGCTTGAACATAGTGAAAAGAATTTTTATTGAAAACGAACAATCCTAAAAAATAAACAAATGAATCACGAACATAGTAATGTTCATTTATGTTTGGTTTGTTTACATCCTTAGATAAATGAGAAAATAAGAAAAAGAAGAATAATTTCATTCAACAATGCAGACCTGATAATTTGTATATTTTTGTTAAATACTTGTAATTTGTGTATTTTTGTTGTATTTTACACAAAATTAAGTGTATAATTCATGTCAACATGAAAAAAATGAAATATATTGTTTAGTGTTTATTAAATTCATATATGATTTCTGCTAAAATTTTAACCTATGTCACTTTGTGTCTTTTTTCATATCATTTTTGTATGATATCATCGTATCATATTTTAAATTATTAGATTTACTAAGATGTGATCACAAATTCGCTCATGCTTTTCTCTTGTACTGCTGCAACCTTACATCTAACTAAGCAAATAATTAACCTTTTATTAAAGTAGGATTATAATAACATTATTAAATTTAACTTATACGAGGATAAAAATATTATCAAATATATTAAAGGGATTAAAATTCAAATTTTGTGTGAGCACATGAACCATTTATACAATTTGACAATTTATTTTATGATCAATGTTGTCAGGTCAGCAAAATCAATACCATGTCAATAAAATCAATGCATGTTTCATCAAGTCAATGGCCATATCAGTATTTTTAATGACAAAAATTTAATGGTATTAGAGATTAAGTAAGATTATCAAATCAAAATAACATGAGAACTTTATTTCTATAAATTATAATAGAAAGATTAAATTTCAATTTTGTTAAAGTATATGGATCATTATTATAATTTGACCAATTTTAAATAATAATTATCATTAACTTTAAATAATAAATTATTGAATCATTAATTTTAATTCATACAATCATCCAAAATGACATACAATAAATTTAAATTCAAATCTCAATACCTACAAATTATTTCATTATCTAAATTAGATTTTCTTTATACATAAACAACAATTAAATATTGGATTAGACCAGTCCAAAAACATAATACAAGTGTAATAAAAGCATAAAGAAAAATATAATAACACATTAAATTTTTACTTTCTCTTACTGTTGATACTATTCAATGATGGATTGGTTGCCTTCCTTAAGGAGATACCAAACATAAGTAGTCCATAGTTCAAGCATAAAACTAAGGTATTCTAACTAATGTTTAAGACTAAGTGCCTTCATAGCATGATGTTGAGCTAATGGCCTGACTTTTGTGGAACCATGCCTTATGTTATAGTAGCTTACTTTAGTATTTCTTGGTTCAGTAACTTTTCTCTGTCAAGTGGATCAATGGTTTATTTACAACTTTACAAGAATTCTGATGCAGAAGATTTACAATACTGTGACAATTGCAGAGCATACTAACTGTATCACTACAAATTATAACAAAGAGGTTAAGAACTACTTTAAGATTAAGATGGGAATGGAAAGGAATAGCTAAATGAGAGGAAGTTTAGAAATGCATGCTTAATATTTCACAATAGTTTTTTTTTTCAATGAAACTAGATGATGATACTTTACCCTTATGAAAAATAGGTTACAAATTTATATAAAAGAGGAAAAGCAAATGAATGGGACATGACATGATCTAAGGGGTCCATAACTATGACACAAAGCAATACAAACAAAATAGTAAGGTAACTTTAATA